TCAGCACTTCCTCTCACCTCAGCACTTCCTCTCACCTCAGCACTTCCCCTCACCTCAGCACTTCCTCTCACCTCAGCACTTCCCCAGCCTCAGCACAACCCCTCTTCTCAGCACTTCCTCTCACCTCAGCACTCACTCACCCTCACAAAATCTCCCCTTCACTCCCCTTGCTCCTTCCAGCAGCCACCTGACCCTTCAAAGGAGACACAATTCACATTCCAGTAGCACTCCCTAATTTGAACCCTCTCCCAGGAATGGCAAATGCCAGCCTGAGAACAGACTAACAGCCACTGCTCCCAGACTCCTTGTCAAAGAGGCTGGCACTCTCTCTGATGGAGAACTAGGCACTCCCCAGCACAGGTGGCTTCTGGCCTTGGGAGAAGTGAAGAAGCACACATCCTTAGAGAGGTTAAGTGTCATATTATGAGACTATTAAGCATTCCCAGACAGCTGGGACCTGTTTATAAAAACATTTACCACTAATAGCAACTTGAAGGCCAAAGGAGCTTCCCTCCCCAATTGTGCAACACTGCCCACCTCCTAAACAGATGGCATTGTGTTTGAAGAATGACTTCCCTTATCTGTCATGTAACCCTGGAACTCCTGAACCTGCCTGTGTATAAATTCCCTTATCCCCTCAATGAAGCATCTCAATCCTGTCCTGTGCAGTGCGAACCTTGTAATCAGAAGATTGGAAGATCAGAAGTGGGAAGATTGTAATCTGAACCTGGGTTTGAATTTATTAAAAGGTTCTTTGCCTCACTGCATGGGATTTTGCAATTCTTTGAGCTCTGCTGGGGAGCCTGAAACCTGGGCATAACACTCCTTGATGAAGGAGACAGTCCTTGCTTGTCCAAACTGCTTTATTCATGGCACAGGAAGATGCATATGGCTTACTCAGAATGAACCACAGGTTAAATAGTTTGCAGGAAGAGATGCCTAGGGAGGGATGCTTATAGGCCAAACACTCAGACTCCCTGGATGCCTCATTAGCATAGAGACCTCTGGGCTAGTTGTCATGGTCCTATTTGTGGGGTGTCAAGGTAATGTGCTCTAGAACAGGAATCTGCGCAGGTCCTAGTCTAAGTGCTTCCAATCTCAATTATG